TTCTGCTTACACACTGCATGTTCAGGCTGTATGTAAGATAAACATTGTAATCATTCTTACTATACTTTGGACTTTATAGGCGTAATTAACTCCTATAAGCTCAGATGAATGCAGTTGTAATTTATCATGCTCCTATTTTTCCTTTATGGCCTGCTTGTGCCCAACTCAAAACAACGTATGTCTCTACAATGTGATGACCAGCTCTAAGCCATTTACTAGAAGCAATGAGATATTAAAAACAACACCTTCTCCTTAAAAAAAAATAAAATGTTGAAAATAACTTGTATGTAGAGATCCAGCTGTAGCTTTGTGTGCTACAATGAGTCACAGGGCCAAAACCAAACCCCCTTGTGAGGCAAAAGTTTCTCAGTACTTTTTATTACCATATTTGCTGAGTTGTTCAATAAATAAAGAGGACAACTTTTGTTTAGGGCTATTAGATAAGAGAGGCCAGAACTCTTCTGCATGAGTCAGGCCCATTTCTTGTATGTGGCATTACCACACCCTCTTAAAGCATACTAAGTTTTTACCTGCATTTTGTTGATTGACATGAGCAAAGCATACTACTCTAAGTGCAGGGGCTGCTGTAACACCATCAAGGGCACCATAGTTTGGGGGTTCTATGACGCAAAGGAATCAATTTGGTCCTGAAAAGCCTCAGGGAACATTGCAATGTGGTCTATGAAAGAGCCTCCAGAAGATAGGATTTAGACCCACAGGCCAGAGTCACTGTCTCTCCTTTTCTTATTTAATTTTATGTGTATGTGTATAGATGTTTCACTGTATGTACGTCTGCCTGGTGCCTGCAGAGGTCAAAGGAAGCACTGAATCCCCTGGGTCCTCCAAAAGAGCAGCCACTGCTCTTATGACTGAGCCTGTCAGCAGACCTAGGGTCTCACTCCTACGGCTCTCTGAGGGAGGGGATGTCAGAGCAGGAGACACGGAAAGGTGGTAGAGAGGAGGATTTGTGACCACCAATACCCCTTGTGTTACAAACTCACTTCTTTGGAGAGACCCCATAGCACCTGGAATCTTATGCAGCTAATGTACAAGGAAGGCAGAAATTAAGTAGAGATAAATGACTACCAAAACCTGTCAAGGAAGAAGTTTTTGGATCATATTACCTAGTAGCCATTGTCATCTATTGTCAATAGCATCTCACTGAGGGGTGGGACTCTTGAGAGTTAGCTATTGCTCCCTACACTCCCTCCTCTATCCTGCCCTCCCAGTCCCCACACCACCCAATCCTTTCTCTGTCATTAAATCTCATTTCTTCTTCACACCAACTCCCTCCCCCACCTTAAAGGATGCCCATGGTCCACTACCACTTTCCTGACATCCATGAGTCCTTCAGTACACAAGGATTCCAAAAATTCAAATTTGGAATCCACACATAAGGGAGAACATACAATGTTTATCCGTATTTAGGTTAGCTCACTCCGAATGATCGTTTCCTTCTCATTCCATTTGTCTACAAATTTCTTCATTTCATTATTATCAACAGCTGAATAACATCCCATTGTGTAAACGCACCACATCTTTATTATGCATTCATCAGGTGGTGGACATCTTGCTGCTTCCACTCCCTAGCTCTTGTGAGTAGAGCAGCAGTGAGCATAGATGAGAAAGTAGCTATCTAGTAAGGGAGAGTCTTTTGGGTGTATGTCCAAGAGCAGGATAATTAGATCATACGGTAGGCTAATTTCTGGCTTTGGGAGGCCCCTCCACCCTGACCTCCATGCTGCCCGTACCAGTTTGCACTCCCATCAGCAGTGGCCAGTGCTCCCCTTTCCACATCTACAGCAGCACGTGGTGCCATTTGTTTTCTGGTCTTAGCCATTCTGACTGCGGTAAGATGACATCTCAGGGCTATTTAAATCTGCACTTTACTGATATCAAACAATGTTGAACATTTAAACAAACAAACAAAAATATTCTCACCAGGAGGTGGTTGCATAACTTTAATCCCAGTACTTGGGAGGCAGAGTCAGGTAGATCTCTGTGAGTTCAAGGCCAGCCTGGTCTACCACAGCTAGTTCCAGGACAGCCGGGGCTGTTACACAGAGAAACCTTGTCTTGAAAAAACAAACAAAAAAAAATAATAAAATTCTCAGTCTTCTACATTTATTTATTTATTTATTTTGAGAACTCTATTTAGTTTCATGTCCCAGTTTTTAACTGGGCTATTTGTTTTCTTGATGTTTAGTTTTTTCCCCCTTTTCTTCATATATTCTAGATACTAACACTGTCAGTTATACAAATGGTAAAGGCTTTTTTTTTCCCCATTCAGGCTGCCTCTTCACATGAACTATGGTATCCTTTGCTGAATGAGTGTTTTCTGAATGCTGTTTTTTAAGGCAATTGTGACTGCTATTGTTTCCCTGATTTCTTTCTTGAAGTGTTTGCATATAGAAGGCAACTTTAATGCATTGATTTTGTATCCTGCTACTTTAATGAAAATGTTCATCATCTGTAGTTTCCTTGTGGAGCCTTTAAGGTCTTTCATACATAGAATCATATCATTTTCAAATAAAGATACTTTAGCGTCTTCCTTTCCTATTTTATCCCCTTTATCTCACCCACTTGTCTTGTGCTCTAGCCAAGACTTAAAAGCACAATATTGAACAGAAACAGAGAGAGAGAGAGTGCACATCCTTGTCTTGTTCCTTATGTTACTAGAAATTCTTTGTTTTTCTCCATTTAGAATATGTTGCCTTTGATCTTATTGAATATTGCCTTTATTGTGCTGAGAAATGTCCCTCATATCCCTATTCATAACTTTTATCGATATTGTTGAAGGCCTTTGCTGCATCTAATGAGGTGATTATAATTTTTCTGTCCTTTTTTATGTGGTATATTATGTTTATTGCTTTTATGTATGTTGAACCATCGCTGCATCTCTGTGATGAAGCCAACTGATCATGATGGATGATCTTTGTGATGTTTTCTTGAATTTTCTTAGCAAGGTTTTTATTGGAAATTTTTATGTCTATATTCATAAGGGAGGTTGGCCTATAATTTCTTTCATTTTTTTTTCTTTCTATTTTTAGTTTTTGTCTGGTTTTGGTATCAGGACCGTACTAGCTTTGTAAAGAGAACTTAGACATGTTCCTTCCTTTTCAATTTGGGGGAACAGTTTGAGACACATTGCTGGCAAACTTCTACATAGAACTCACCTGGGCTCTCTTTAGTTGGGAGATTTTCATTACTGTTCCCATCTCATTGTTGGTTATAGTCTATTTACAGTATTTACTGCAACCTTGATTAACTTTGGTAGATAATATAAATCTAGAAATTTGTCTACTTCCTTTAAAATTTCCAATTTGGTGGGATTAAAAATGTTTAAGTATATCCTCATGATTTTCTGGGTTCCCACACTGTCTATAGCAGTATCTCCCTTTTATACCAAATTGTATCATTTAGAACTTTTCTCTACATTTGATAATTTGGCTAAAAGGCTGCCAATCTTATTTTTTTTTTGGAAGATCTTACTGTTTCCTTGATTCTTTGTATATTTTGTTTTTGTTTCTATTTCATTAATTTTTATCCCTGAATTCCATTATCTCTTCCCATGCTTTTTTTGGGATGCAGGTTATTTCTTGTTTCCCCAAGGATAACAGCTGCATCATTATTAATTTGACATCTCTCAAATTTTTTGATATAAGAATTTAGTGCTATAATTAACTTTTTCATCTTAAGAGTGTCTTGTGTCCTATAGATTTGGGTAGGTTGTGTTTTCATTTTCATTCAAGTCTAGGAATTATTAATTTCCTTATATTCTTCCTTGACCCAAGTACTGTTCAGTAATATGTTGTTTAGTCTCCAAGAGTTTGTGTACTTTCTGAAGTTTCTATTGGTAGGCAGCTTTCTTCCACTGTAGTCAGGTAGACTGGAAGATACTATTTCAATTTTTCTAAGTTTGTTGAGACTTGCTTTGTGTCCTAATATTTGATAAAATGTAGAGAACATTGCATGGTCTGCTGAGAAATGTGTTTCCTTAGTTTTTGCATGGGATGTTCTGTGGCTGTCCACTAGGTCCATTTACTTCGTGTTGTTAAACTCCAGTTAACTCCAGATGACTTTGACACCTGATCCTTCTACCTCTGCCTCCCAAGTGCTAGACGAACATGTCTGTACCATCATGCTCAGCTTTTCCAGGCTCCGGTATTTTTACTATAACAACAGGATACCAACCAAGTGTGAGCAACAAGCTTTCATCTCCCTTTCCTCATATCAAATCCTAAATCCCACGTCTCTAAATGGTACCCACTTTGTCACCACAGCTTGGCAGTATGTGAGCAGCATCAGGGAAGTCAGCAGAGATCCTGGCTGCTGTAAAACTCCACAAAGATCATGGAAAGTCCTTCCCGCCATCCCTTAGAGTCCTAACATGACTCTTTAACACAGACTATGCCCCTTTCAAATTGTTCCCCTCCTGCCGAATGCTTCTACTCTATTTCCAGCAAGTGACAAGTACAACCACAGAAACCTGTCACTTTTGTATTTGTAATACTTGTCACTAATTAGAAAGTCACCTGGAGTTCATTCATGCAGCTGTGCTCAACTATTTTCCTTTAAATGGCCTAGTATTCCCAACCCCTTGGAAAGTGGACAGATAAATCTAAAGATGTATATGTGTCATACCATATGACAGGGCAAACAGATATATGGAAAAATGAGCTTTTCTCACTGGGCTGAGTCCCTCTTCAACCCACCTATCTGGCGTACACAAATTTGGCACACATTTCTACACAGAGACTGTCTGAGGCGCATCCCTGCTGCCCACTCCTCAGAGCTTCACCTCACTGGCTTCAGTGGCTTTTTTAACTCACAGTGGAATAAGAACCCAATGCTACCAAAAGAAGCACTGTTTCTCTTCTCATGTCACAGGGGACACACAGCTGCCTGTGTTGGCAGCCACAGCGTCCTCCAGCAGGGTGAACTCTGTAGCTAGCAACACCACAACCCCCAGACACGCGTTTCAGATCATAGAAAAATCCTTGGGATGTAGAATGCACTTTATTTCAAAATTGTCATTGCACTTATGGATAAGGTCACTTAGGTCGCAGGCAAACCATGGAGAAAGAATAAAAGACTGACAGGAAGACCTTATCCTCAGGGAGAGGAGAACCGGCCACAGAACAGAATCCCATTGGTCTTAACATGCTGAATGAAGAAAAGGAAGGGGCGGTTGGCACAGAAACGAGGGGTGATCCTGACACACCTCAACATCATGATGGCAGCTGTAGCAGCCGCAGCCTCTGTGCCCTCCTCATTGACCTCCACAAAGGACTTATGCACAACCTTGGACAGAGACAAGCCATGCTTGGAAGATATTCCAGAAAAGTCTGCCCTGTCCTCAAAGGCATCAGTCATGCCCAGCTTGCACAGGAAGTCCTTCATGTCATAATTCTCCTCCAGTTTAAACCGTGGGAGGAAAACCTCCGCCTCTTCTTCATCCATCATGTCCAGCCTCGTCCACTCTATGAAATTTTCATAAGTTATTTCCTTTTCCACCTAGAAGAGAGTTGGACAGTTTAGGACAATGTCCTCTGACACATGCTTCTTTTAATTAGAAGCCAGCCCATGGGCTCCTAATTATTCACGAGCCATAAATCATGGCAGTAATGTGGGCCTTGCTTGGGAAAGGAGTGCCGCTGGGCCATAGGAGCCTGGAAAACTGGGTTTGTCACCCGGGGCACTGGAGACGATGGGGAGGCTCTACACTGCCCAGGGATGTGCGGCTTTAAGTTAATATAGTGGCTGGGAGGGGCTAGGATTCAGCTCGGTGATGAGTGTTTGTGAAGCAGGCTCTAGGCTCTGGGTTATACCCTTGCCTCACAAATGAATGGGAGATAAAAACATGATCATGGGAGCCTAGGAAGCCACCCTTGCAGAAACACAAATGCCACTTTTTCTCCCTCACAGTTCCATCAAGGTCTCGTGATCATTACCGTTTTCAGATCAACGTGCTCATCTGGAAGCATGATGATCATGTTCAGCTCATTGCCAGCATAGGGAAGCAACAGAATCTTGGTGAATATCTCTCCAATATAGGTCATTTTGAAGGTAGACTTCTTATACATCATTTGCACAGGTTTCTCCTCATTCTGTGAAAGAGAGATAAATATTAAGTTGAAAGGAGACACAAGTAACACATTGGGCAGATTCAACAAGAAAGTCAATGCAGTAGGAATATTTGCTTTTTTATTATATTGGAAATGTATGAGTGTCCAGCCTGAACATATGTATGTACGTGTACCACCTGACTACGTGCATTTGGTGCCTGCATATTTTAGAAGAGGGTTTCAAATCCCCCTGGAACTGGAGTTATAAATGGTTATGAGACACCAGTATGGTACTGAAGTCAAACTCTGATTCTCTTCAAGAACATGTGTTCCTAATTGTCTAGCCATCTCTCCTGACTTAGGTACATTTTCTTAAACTGACTTCTGTAGTACTTAACCTCTCAAGCACTTGCTTAGACCTTATACGACCCCAAAAGCCCCTTCTTCAAGGTTTGGTCCTCAGGTGTGCTAGATTGAGAGGAGGTAGACTTCTGTTTGTTTGAGACAAAGTCTCACTATGTAGCCCTAGTTGGCCTAAAATTGCTACACAGGTCAGGCTGGCCTTGAAGTCAGAGATCTACCCGCTTCTGCCTCCCAAGTATTGTGAGTAAAGGTATGCACAACCATGCCTGGCATAGGAGTAGAATCTCTTAAGAGGTGGGGGCTAGAGGGGGGCGTTTATGTCATTAGGATGTGCCCTTGAAAGGGGTTGTGGGATCCTGGACTTTTTCCTCTCTTCTCACTTCCTGGCCTTGGCATGAGCCATTTTACTCCAGCATCTGCTCCTAGAATCCCATTCCAGCACCTTCAAAACAGGCCCCAAAACAACAGGTTCATCTCATCACAGACTTAAACTTCTAACACTGAGTCCAATAAGCCCTGTCTCTACTGAGTTGGTCAACTCCACACTTTAGTGTCAGAAAGCTGACCGGCTCAGTCTCTAAATACCTGGGATGTCCTGGGCCAACATTCTTTTCTCTTGGGGTCTCATATATATATATTCTCATCACTTTGAACAAAATTCCCAAATTCACTGTTCTAGCCAGGACTTCTCTTTGAACTTAGAAATATATTTTATACACTATTTGACTCCTGCATGTTGGTATTCCTTTGCTGGCTGTCCCTTGTAAATATAACCAAAACCTGACTTTATTTTTAAACCTCCACCTGAATAAGCATAGCCCTGGGATGCAATGATGACCTCCTTGTCACTGAATCCAGCACAGCGGCCATAGGTCCTAGCACAATGCAAGTGAGACCACAGCACTGTGTACCACTCTAGCAGGACAATAGTAAAAGAAAGTCTTTAAAACTGCCAAGAATAGAAAAAAGAGCACACACTGCTTCCTATTCTTCTCCACTCTCTCTTCTTTCGTCCACTAAGTCACTGGACTAGTACTGAGGTTAACTAGATTAAGCCCCTTTCTGCCCAGCAAACTGGGTCTCAAACTTGGAACATTCCTCATATGCTCTGGTTGTCTGCTCACACACCATCTTCTCAGTGAAGTTCCTCAGTAGCTCTCCACTGAAACCACACCCAAGCACAGCATCCTGCCACTTCCTCTGTATGAATGCCCCCTGACTGAAGAATGGATAAGAAAAATGTAGTACATTTACACAATGGAGTACTACACAGCAAAAAAAAGAAAAAAAATGACATCTTGAATTTTGCAGGCAAATGGATGGAGCTAGAAAACATCATTTTGAGTGAGGTAACCCAGACCCAGAAAGACAATGATCACATGTATTCACTCATAGGTGGTTTTTAAACATAAAGCAAAGAAAACCAGCCCACAAATCACAATCCCAGAGAACTTAGACAACAATGAGGACCCTAAGAGAGACATACATAGATCTAATCTACATGGGAAGTAGAAAAAGATAAGATCTCCTGAGTAAATTGAGAGCATGGGGACCTTGGGAGAGGGTTGAAGGGGAGGGGAGAGGCAGGGAGGGGAGCAGAGAAAAATGTAGAGCTCAATAAAAATCAATCAAAAAATAAAAAGAATGGGAAAGGTCTCAGAAAGAGGCTTCTTGCTCTCAGCCCTATGTCCTTCCCTGTGGACTGCTGCGTCAGGATCAAAGTCCTGGTATGAGCATGAGGACAAAGGTCCCATGATAACGGTGGTAGAGCAGAAAAGGAGAGTCAGTTCCCAAGAACATCATCCCATGCAGGAAGCCCCAGGCTCCACCCATTTCCTGCCTTCCAGATGAATGACGAATCTGTGTGCTATCAACTATAGTCACCTAGGGTTTCTCTTGCTTGCAGCTGAAGGAAGTTCTAATGTAAATTTTGTCAATGACTGATTCTAAAGACAGAAATACTTTAATCAGGGGAAAAAAAGAACAGCTTTTTAAAGAATAAATCTTAAAATATAATGCATTTCCTGAAAAACTGGAGGTACAATATCAAGTTTTTCTGGGAGATCTAAGGTCTGGTTAATGATCCAAAATGTGATGTAATTAATTTGTTCTGTCAGCCTAGCAGTATGTGCAGTGAGACACATACACACACACACACACACAGAGAGAGAGAGAGAGAGAGAGAGAGAGAGAGAGAGAGAGAGACTGACTAGATAGACTTATTAAAAAAAAGGGGGGGGAAACACCAGCAAATAGCATACTCCAACCAGGAAGAGGTTGAATGTAGTCTATCCCATATAAACATCCTTTGTGTGATTGTCTATAAGCAAAAATCTGTGCTTCTACCACCAAACCAAATCTTGTTTTCACACACCGCTTAAGTGTTTACTGGGCACCGACCATGAACCAGGCATTCATTAGACAGTTGTCTGCCCTCTGCTGTTTTTCCAGCAGGGTGAGAATAGTGATTTTCCCACTGCAATGTGTTGTGGCACCCAGCTGGAGTTGTGGTCCTCTGAAGGAGGGAGAAGACACGAGACAGCACTTCTAGGAAGACACTGAAAAGAAAGGACTGCACACGACTGAAGAGATCTCCAGGAATGCGCTGCTTTCAGGGTCACAAGGAGACAGCACATCTGGAGTTCAGGCCTTCCTATCTCCAGAGTCATAGGACAGACTGTTTCAAGTACACGGCAGAGCTCTGACATCAGGTTTGTCTCAGTCAGTGACACCATGGTCAGTGACAGAAGCAGGGCCATGCAGACACCAGTGACAACAAGCAGAAGGAAAGGGGAAGAGAAAGGCCTCAAAGATGTGAGAGGGAGCTCTAGCTGCAGAGCTGCCCAAAGACATGAGGGGCATGGGCTACATGAAACAGCCTCCTTGTGTTTCAGAAGCCAGTGTGAACAGGGGACCTTGCCCTTGAGTCTCCTCTGTTACTGCACTGTTTACCTTGGAGACTTTGAAAGGCATCTCCCGGGTGTCCTCTTTGTTAAACTGCTTCTCCCAGTTCCCTTTAAAGTAGATGGCATTTACAAGGACCAGCAGAGTGTCTGAATTCACCGCACCTGGAGACAGCAGCTCTTGGATTTTATCTGAAAGAAAGAATTAAAAAAAAAAAAAAAGGAATTAAAAACACATGGTAGTTGGTTGAGAATGGCTTCCATAGGCTTATATATTTGAATGCTTGTTGCCCAGTTAATGGAATCATTTGGAAAGGAATAGTAGGTATGGGCTTGTTGAAGAAGGTATGTTGTTTTCAGATTTCAAAAGCCCACAGCAGGCCCAGCTTCTCTCTCTGCCTGCTGCCTGTGGATCAGGATGTAGCTGTCACTGCTCCAGCACCAGGCCTGCCTGTTCCCTGCCATGATGCCATGATAACCCTTCTAAGACTGTAAGCAAACCAATTTAGAAGGACATTTGTACTTAAAGCAACAACCCTGGCATCAAGAAGACATCATTTTTGCTTCTGAAGATTTATTTTTAATTGATGTGTGTGTGTGTGTGTGTGTGTGTGTGTGTGTGTGTGTGTGTGTATGTGTGTGTCAGGCATGCTGATGTCCACAGAGGCGCAAAGTGTTAGTTCCCCTGGAACTGAAATTATAGGAAGTTAATAGAGATGCTGGAAACCGATTCAGCACCTCTGCAAAAGCAGTCTGGATTCTTAACTGCTGAGCCATCTCTCCAGCATCAAAGTCAAACTCCTTTAAAAAAAAATGTTTTAGAGAGAAGAAAAATAAGTCTAAAAGATTCTGGTAAGAAAAAATTCACCATTGAAATAAACACAAAGTTAATGCTGGACAGGCAGTTAGAATTTAAAGCAACGCTTGAACTGGAAAGACACAATTTGTGCCTACAACTTAAAGAGAGAAACTTTAGACTGTTTTAAAATAGACTGGTTACAAATTCAAATTTTAAAAATATTTGAAGTAATAGATATATTTATCTTGATCCGAACATGAGAGAATGCATATTAAAAATTATATAAAAACTTGTCAACATGCATATTTATGTATTAGCTTAAAATAAATTGAAAGTAGAATAGCGGTTATAAAATGGACTGTATGCATGGCGGTGGTGGTGCATGCCTTTAATCCCAGCAATTGGGGAGACAGAGGCAGGCAGATCTCAATGAGTGCAAGGCTAGCCTGATCTACAAAGCAAGTTCGAGGACAGTTAGGACTGTTACAGAGAAAAAAAAAAGAGGACCTTGCAATCTACAACCACAGATAAATGGGGGTTTGGCTCAGCATCTACAGCCATGCTAGATAACTACAGAAGGGAGAGCATCACCCCCAGACAAGAAAGAGCTGCAGAACTAGAATGAAAGCATTCTGTGTTCTTTATAAATAATGTTTGAAAAAAAAAATAAGAAACAGAGGGAGGGACAGTTGGAGGGAGGAACCGAGGATCAGAGAGACCGCAGGTTGGTAAGTTTTCAAAGATGTGTATCAATTACTGGGAGACATCATAGAGTCACTGTTAAAAGCTAGGGAAAGTCAGATAGAGTGACGTATCATTTAGTCCCACCACTGGGAACCAGGCTGAGTTTGAAGCCAACCCAATCTATACAGTAAGCTGTAAGTCACCAGTGCTACAGAGTAAGCCACCCTGTCCTTTAAACATTAAGAAATAGGGAAAAGCTATGCAAAGTGTTAGACACGATCTTACTGCCTGACTGTGGGGTAGTGGGAAAAACTGCCAACAGGTACAGCTTTCTGAACAAGCAACAGCCAAAACATCATTCAAACTCAAATACATGTTGAACCCAAGGTGCTCATGGCAGTAATTCCTATCTTGCTTCATACTACTTCACTGTGGCCTTGGTGATGAGCACACATAACCACTTTGTAATGTGAATGTCATTGTGTTATCCTATAAAATGCAATGCCATCAAACACCTCACGGCAGGTGCGCACAGATATACAAACACTCAATAAACAAACAAACAAAAACACCATTTTCAAAAGTAGGCTAACTGCTTAACAGGAACTGGGATGTAGTTCAGAAACCCAGGTCCTGCTCAGCATGCTCAGGGCCCTGGATTCAAGTCCCAGCTCTGAAAACAAACTGAACAGAACAACTCTGTGTTCACCTTCTGTCTTTTTGGCGACCCAGGTGTTGATGTGCTGTCGGGACTGCTCTGTGTCACCCTTAAAGTCCAGCTCTTCCATCTCTGCTTCGTAGAACTTGCGGCAGGAATCTTTAAAAGACTGAGAAGAGCAACACGATTACACAGCCACGAAAGGGATCAGCACCGACAACCTTCTTCCTTGATGCGCAAAAGCAGAAAAGCAAATTTTTATGATTACAGATGTGACTTGCAAATGAATACGTGGGAGGAGTATAAAATCCAGCCTTCCTGCATCCAGCTTTCTTTAACCACAGTTTATTAATGAGGTAAGATGGTGGCTGGTGGACCGAGTACCACTGAAAAGCATGATGAACAGCTGCATCCTTGTAGCTGAGGCTCAAGGAGGTATCTGGGAAGATGCTCAGATGCAGTACTTAAACGGCTGTCACTCTCATAGTCCACCACATGGGCAGAGGGAGGCTTAACCCCATGAGAGCTACAGCATCTCTGCACTGTGCACAGGCTGGACTTTCTACCACAGTTTTCCACACTAACAGAAATACAAAAGTGCATCATTTGAAATAGTGTCACCTAAAGCTGCAGAACACCAGGGAATGGCCATGGAAGCTATAAAACTGAAAACTTCATTTTAATTTATTTTACTTCATGATATGGAATTTGAACAGCTGTGGAACCCTAGTCACCATCTCAGAAAGGTCATTTTCAGGGAGTGAGCAATTCACAAAAACACAGTGAATGCTGGGATGGGGTTCAGTGGTGTACCACGGAGGTGAAAGACCAGCCTGGCAAGCACAAGGTCTTAAAGGGAACCAAACATCAGAACCAGAAGACAAACAGAAGCTCAAGCCATTTTCTGATATGTTCTGTAAAATGACAATGACATTGATGACCTCCCACATTCTGCCGTGCTGTTGCAACAGAAAACTGCATACAGTGTAAATGGGCTGAAACACCCACTATGCTGACAGTGTATATGGAATGACTTCTTAATATTTCTATGAAACAGCTTGTCTCTTGGATACATATTTAATTCCTCTTTGAGAAAACCGTTTTTATTTTTTTGTTTGTGTACTTATGTGTGTACACATAAATCTATGTACACATGTGTATGTCTGGATATGAGCACATGTGTGTGCAAGTGTATGTGAAGTCTAAGTTAGAAAGTAACTTGAAGTATCTTTCTCAAGAGTTCTCTCTGTACCTTATTTTTTGAGACAGCCTCTCACTGGACCTGGAGCTCAGAATGCAGCTGGCCAGGCTGCCCAGTACCCTCCAGGAATCCACCCCTCTCTTTATTCCCCAGTACTAAGGTGACAGACATGAAACTTCATGTTGGGATTTTATGTGGGTGCTGAGGAGCTGAACTCGGGTCTTTATGCTTTCATACCAGTCATTTTGTTTACCAAAAGAGCTCTCTCCAGGCCCTGAGGAAAGAGAATTATGATACAGGACTTCAACACCACAGTCTGGGTAGCAGCTGTGTGGCTCAGCAGAGTTACTTTTCTACACCTCCTCAACCACTGTAAATGGGAAGAGAGCAGTGGTACCTCAGGGATCAGCCACAATAATCTGGAGAGATTATTTTATTATTTAAATTATTATATATATTTTTATGTGAATGAGTACTATGCCTACATGTATATCAGTGTACCATGTATATCTCTGTTCTCAAGGCCCAGAAAGAGCTTAAGATTCCTCACAGCTGTAGTTACAGATGTTTGTAAGCTTCAAGTGGGTGCTGAGTTCTACTAGGAGTTTTCAGGTTTCAGATTTTTTTGGATTTAGTGATGTTGGACTTGAGTACTCAAAAATAAATAAATAAATAAATAAAAGTTTCCAAACTCAAGATCAAAATTTAAAAGATTAAAGTTGCAGAAGCCCATGACAGGAATAGAAGGGAACACTCTGCTAGTATCTCTGGCCATTCGGGAGAGCAATGAGCAATACATCTCCTTTCTACAACTGCATCTGACCTCAACACCTGCACATGGACATGGAACCGCATTCAGTAACTCACTGCTGGTGATGGCCCACACCGCTACCCGCACACAACTGGCTCACTATGTCACCAAACATCTACACTCAGAACTATCCGATGATGAATAATAACACTGACCACTACTTGGGCTGTGGGTCAGTGGTAGAGTTGGGGCTTAGATATCTGAGACCCTGGGTTCTACCTCTCACACCAACAATAACAGGAATAATAATGAAACAGAGTCACTTGATACTGAGATTCAGAGAAGGAAAGAAAATACTCATAAAAATATACACATAAAGGGCTGAAGAGATGGCTCAGTGGTTAAGAGCACTGACTGCTCTTTCAGAGGTCCTGAGTTCAATTCCCAGCAACCACATGATGGCTCACAACCATCCACAATGAGATCTGGTGCCCTCTTCTGGCCTGCAGGCACACATGTAGACATAACACTGTATACTAAATAAATAAATAAAGTTAAATACACACACACACACACACATATATATATATATGTGAAAATTCTTACCAACTAAATTTCTATATGTGCAGAACACACATCACCCTATATGAAAATCTCTTATTTATGAAGGGGCAGAAGTAGAGGATGGCTACTGCTTAGATAGTCTGTACAGTAAGAATATATTCACATGTCATTCCAAAGCATGGAAACAAACTGAGAATCACATTAGTGGACAAGGTAGTAGGGTGAATCCTTAGCTTCTGAGGACCTGCGTACCACATGATACTTACTGCTAGAAGGTCACAAGTCTTCTCTCCGAAGAGCTTGTTGGCTGTTTTGAGCAAGTACTGTGTACCAGTCTTGTTCACTTCGGTGAGAAGTGACTGGAAGCCCTGGTGGACATCTCCACCTCCATTGCCGCTGCATTTATCCAAAGAGAGTGCCTGAAATCAACAGATTAAAACACAGCTCAAGCCTGGCGGTGGTGGCGCACGCCTTTAATCCCAGCACTTGGGAGGCAGAGGCAGGCAGATCTCTGTGAGTTCGAGGCCAGCCTGGTCTATAAGAGCTAGTTCCAGGACAGGAACCAAAAGCTACAGAGAAACCCTGTCTCGGAAATCAAAAAAAAAAAAAAAAAAAAACACACACACACAGCTCAGCAGGCCCAGCTATAGGGAATGAGTCAAGACTAAACCCATCCTCAAAACCTTATAGATCCTTCCTGCCACTCAAAGAGCCACCCAATCAAAGATGAAAGTACCTAGACTGTTCCCTCCCCAGGGTCCTCACTTGTACCCTGTCAGCCCTGTTCTGAGCAGAAACGACCCTTCACAAGCTCAGCTCTTCATGTCCACTAACTGTGCTCTGGCTTCAAGCATGGCTACCAGCCAGAACTGCTAAGTGCAGTCCGTTCTGACCTCAGATCACGCTGTGTCCTCCCTGCTCTAGAGTCTGGATTGGACCCAGCACTGTCTGCCCAGCAGAATGTAGGAGAGGGACCCTGTTCTAAGCCTGGGTTTAAAAGGCCTGGCAGCTGCCACATTTATAATCTTATTTTCAGGCACCATGGTGGAAGGAATTCCAAGCCATCCTGCAGGAGGCCACCTGGAACATCCTGGAGTAACTGTACCACATACAGCAGCTTGAAAGAGAAGCAAGATTCCAGCCAAGAGTGAGCACCTAGGTACCAGACCTTAGATACAATTCCATAGACCTTCGAAGCCTCTGAAAACACTATGCAAATGACTTCAGCTGCTCCCCTAGGAAACAGGTAAACTGCCTATCAGTAGCTGTAATAGCTTGGAATTAAAAGAGAAGGAGAGAGTGTAAACTGAAGGCAAGTCTCTATGCCCTAACTCTCTTTGGGAAGGAGGCAGGCTGAAAAAACAACAAACACAGTATGCCTTGTAAAAACAAAAAGGTGCTGCAAAGATTTTACCCAAAATGCAAAGTCATAGCCCAAGGTAGTCTCCTCCTCTAATGCCAGGACAGCCTGTCTCTGCAATTCAGAAACCTCTGCAGCTAAAGCACTCAGTCCAAGAAGAGCCCTAATGGACATGTCCCTGGCCTTCCAGTCAAGGCTGCCCCATTCGAGAACTCCTTACCTGTGAAAAAGCTAAGGTTCATTAGGGCCAGAGAGAAGACAGTGGGCATCACAGAGGATCCTGGTACCACCCTTTGGTGTTTTACTCAAGCTAACCCTCACTTACATACTGTGAGCACCGAGGAGTTAGTGATAGGGCCCTAACAGGTATAGGGTGCATCCTTCCTCTCAGGTCTCCAACCATAGCCCTCGGCCATTTCATTCCATTTGCTCCTCAAGATGGATGTTTCTTGAGACTGAGAATGTGGAGGACCAGCTCGACTGACACTCCGTCGTATTCAGCTGCTGTGGTGCTGCCTACCTGAGCCATCTGGCTTGCAGTGTTTCCCTTTGCCCCCATGAAGACCATAGCCAGGGATGAGGAGATGCTCATGGGTGAGAAAAACACATTTTTTGAGCTGTTTTCACCCAGGATTTTCAAAAGATTTAAGGCAAAGGTGCCATTTGCTTCCCGAAGAGGATCCATGATAGCAAGCCTGGAACGAGGAATTAAAATCAGTATCACATAAATACGGCTGATGTGCGGGCTGCATCTACACTCTCGCTCACACAGAGATGCTGGGGCTCAGTGGACAAAGGGGAATCCCCACCTGGAAAGTAAAGGGACTTGCAGGAAGTGATACCACCCGGCTGGGCTAACTCGGGTCAGTACCCGACCCACCAGCCAGGACGTCCACAAGTGCAGCAGTGCAGCCTGGGAGCAGGCAGCTCTAGAAGCAGGGCCTGATAGCTCTGACATCATCGTACACAGTTGCCAAATTCCTTTTCCCCAGCTAGACAGTACAACATTCTATGATTTCCCATCAGCTCCCCTGATGCTGGGAACTCAGAGCATGGGAAAGGAAAGTAACAGGCTGCAGAAAAGAGAAGGTGCCCAGTTTCAGTGATGAGAACAGAATACTTTGCGCAGCTTTACAGCTACAGCTGTAGTCAGCTGATCAAAGAACCCAAAGACACCCAGGTTCCAAACCCTGCAACCTGGGAAAGTGTCTTCACCCTGGAAGAGACTTTGCAGTAAGGATTATTTATCTTAAAATGAAATACCTTGCACAATTCAAATAGTAAATGGAATCACATACGGCCTTATAAAAGAGGGATGTTAATTGGAAGATAGGGAAGAAGAAATTAATTCAGAGAAATGGGTTCTCTAGATCAAAGGACTGTGGCTAGCCACCATACCTGCAATCACAGTTCTGGGGAAGCTATGGAAGAATGCTCTCTATTTCAAGACTGGCTGGGATGCAAATGGAGAGGAAGAGGGGGTTGAGGGAGGAAATCAGTACAAAGATTTTAATTGAGAATAGCAAAGGAACACAAACCAGTAGTGACAGTGTAACAATCCAAGGCACAGTAGAGAGAGCACATAAACTCCCAGAGACCAAGAGGTGTCCAGGCAAATCTGACTTTATTAACAGGCTTATTTTAGTGGTTTCCAGTAGGCATTCATATCCACAGTCAAGCATTCTACTCTTCTTTCATTATATGGATGTTTCACATCAAGTAGTATTTATTGGCCACATGAGTGACGACAGGACTCTTAGACCCTTGCTCTGTGAATACTATATAGCTCATACCTCTTCACATATAACATCTGCTCTGGGCCCAAACATATTCTTGTTTTGTTATTTATTCCCTTATATTGATGCAACACACTGTACAACTTTCTAAGGAAGAAACAGTTATTCTGGTTTCTTGAACATCTGAAAATTTATTATTCTTCCATGCCACTGAGTCTGACAGGATCTAGAAAAGGTTCCATGTGACTTTACATCCAGTCATTCAGCTATGGCACCACTACTTCCCAGCTAAGAGTTTTGCTGTTTGAGGGCGTGATGATATACCGACCTCATGTCCTCAGAGCCCCTTTCGAACCTCAACTCTGAAAGCTTATGAACTTCTTCTTATTTCTGACAGTCTGAAACACCCACTTTTGTGTCCCTCTCTGAGCTCAACTCATGAATTTTGCTGGGCTCTTGGAAGACCCTTTCAAAACTAGCAAGTGAAGAGAATTTCCCCTTCACTCAGGAGAGTTTTCAATGTACTGCTCCTTTCTCAGAGACTGACTCTGTGCTCTCTCTTTCTGCATCACCCATCTGTCAGATGCTAAACTCTTGAACTGACCTCATCCAGGACTTCCCTAACATGTGCCGCTGTGATAAAATACCCCAACAAAAGCAACTTCAGCGAGGGTTTCCTTTGGCTCAGAGCTCCTCATACCTCCAGAGGTCAGGGGGAGATGAACACTTGCGCATTCATCTAGTTTTCTACATTTTGTGCAGCCCGGAAAATGGTGCCGCCCACTTTTATGGTAGGTCTTCAAACCTCAGCTCATATGATCAGGATAGTCCCTCAGAGGCCTGGCCAAAACACTGACCTAATCACGGTGTTCTTAAGTATTGTCTCCTAAGTGATTCCTGAACCTGTCAACTATCACCAGCCTTCTCCAAGCCCAGGAACACACAAAGAACAGCATTTGTATGGCACTGTGAGTCCAGTGGCTACAGAGATGACTGGCTGAGAACCACAGCTACGCAATGAGTCAAATATCTATTCCCTTTCACCAGCATAATGGCCCAGCACACAGCTGAAAGGCTTGCAAAGACTGCTTGGCTTAATCCCAGGTCCAGCAAACTCAAAAACAAAGGGGTGGTGCCCCATGTGGTCCTATATCCTCATGGTGTCTTCTTGCCAGATACTGGGAAGGTGGGGCACACAATGTTGATCACTCTAATTCCATCTGCTGCGACTGGCCTGAGATAGTTGCAACTCCCTGAACTAATTTAAAGGTGTTTTGGGCATGAAATGGCCTAACAGAATTTTAAGTACAGTCATTCCTGGATATCAGTTGGTATCTGAAGATGCCAAAATCCTCAAGTGCTCAATTTACACATGTAAAATAACTTAATAATTGACCTAAAACCAATGTACATGCTGCTACGTACTTTAAATGGTCTGGAGATGAGAAAATACCCAACACAATGTAAACAATAGATAAATGGTCCTGTTAGCATACACTGTACAGTTTAGAAAGCAAGAAAGGGAAGGGGGTCTGAATAGGTCTATACAGCCCAGGCTGCCCTCAATCTCTTATCCCCCTGCCTCAGCATCCTGAGTGCTGGCTGGGATTACAGGTATGCAGCAACACAGTTCAGTTCTCCTACAATGTTTTCTGTCAGATTTTGATTCCTATTGGCTATTTCATGCTGAGTTCATTTGAAATTCATGTATGGCAATAGTAGGTATGGGGAGCCCAATAAACTTAGTGTATTTGAGCCAAGAGTGACCCAAATGCACCCACTCTGTATGATGACACAAGTCATAGTGCACACAGTCACTCAGGGCAGCCATGAAACCCTGGGACACTCCCCATGTCCACTGATAACAGTGATAACATGTGCCCCAGCTCTATGAAGTTAGTCCCTGATTGCACAGTTTCCAAAGGTTACTTGATGCATCAGATTCCACACCCAAGTCCTAAACTACTGGAGGAAGGAAACGGGCAGCCTCCGGAAGAGTCCTATTACAAGCAATCGACTCCAAGTAAGCCAGAAGTTATTAAGTGCCAAGCCTCACCCAGTTTTTCCTCCCACCCAGCTTCCCGACACCACATGAATGTTAGATTCCCATCCTTCTGACTCTCAAAACAAATCTAAGCAGTAAAGGGGAAGAGCAGGCCTGTGATTCAGTGGTAGAGCAATTGCTCAGCAAAGCAAGGCCCTGGGTCCATCAACAAACAAGAGGAAGGGAGGAAAAGCCTAACTCACATGCCAATTTCATCTGGCACAGAAACTCTGTCAAAACTTTGCTCATGTCCTTCCTCCTAGCCCGACAGACATCAAATCTCGCAACAGTTCTTCTGGCGTGAGTTTAAGAAAAAAAAAGTTTCAAAGATCTGGAATGTTTTCTCATAAATTTCTATGTTTGAAATCCTCCCCAGCACTGGGGATTTGTCGGAACTTCCTAGCACAGCTAGGGCGTCGCCCCTGGAGGACCCACGCACACTGACAGGAAAGAGTGCCAGAACACCCAGCCCTTGGCCTCCTTCCGAACCCCTCCACCCCCCACCCCCACCCTAGATCCCAACGCCCTTCGCAGTGCGTCAACAGCCCGCGTCTCCGGGGTCTCCAGAATCATCAGTGACCGAGGGACATGAGTGGTCACCTGTAGCCTGGGACCCCGGCACAACAGCCGGGCCGGCTCCGAGTTGCCCCCATCCCGCGCCAGCCGCCTCCTCTAAGGACGCTGGAGGATCAGGTCCTGGCCGCAGACGGCACCAACCGGCCAGGACCAGAAGGCTACTAACCCAGCTGCGTCACGGGCCTCTGAAGCCACTATGCAGCAGAGGGAACCCGAGCTGGGACCACAGGACACGCTACACCCGCCCGCGTCCCGCGCCACAGTTAGCCCACAGCAGAGCATACCCGGGACTCTGTTTCCTCGTAAGAAGCAAGCAGAGTAGAGATGAGGAGGCTCTGGCTGCTCCACTTGCCTCAAATACCTGAGGGGATGGGGAAGTGGGCAGAGGCTGGAGGCTGGGCCACAGCCCTTAGCCAAGGGAAGGGCCAGGGAAGCTACTGACGCCCTACAACCTAGCCCATCCTTTGGCTCCAGGCCAGCTGCCACTGATCTTTCTGGTACTTTCCTGAGACTTTGGCTAACTCTCGACTATAGGAATGCAGTAATGTTATTAAACTCGGGCTGGAGTCTCTGGGTGGGTTTCTACAGCCTGTTTACTGTGCCCTTTAGACTGTTTGTCAGCCTTAGTGACACCAGAAGTATACCAGCCTTTGGGGGATGGACATAAATGTGACAGAGCAGGACAGACGTTTAAAGTGAGGGGGGAAAGACTTTATTGGGGTGAAGGCAGAGCGCCTGTCCCTCAGGCACAGAAACAGAGAAGTGGTCAGTGCCCATGTCCAAAGACTCCACTACTCCATTCTGGAAAAGTCAGTCTTGGAAGCTCTGATATTTCACACCGATGAGAAAGAAAGCCCTGTCTGCCATCTTGTGTTCCTTCTAGGAAGCAGGCTGAGCTGGTGGGGAGAATGCTGGTCAGGTTTTAAACCTTTAAGGAAAGGTCAGCTCTAAAACATCAGATTCTTTGCTGTCTCCTTTGCCCTTATCCTAAACCTAGGGTTCCCACCAATGACCATGTTCACATTTACAGTGGCTATTTCTGTGGGGGCTGTCCTAATTTATAGAATTTTAACCAACGACCTTGGCCCCTCTATCTAGAATATGTTGGTAGAAAACTAGGAGGCCACCCTCGCTGTAAAGTTTTATCTTTGAAGTACTGAAGAAGCAAAGGAATTCTCAAAACATCTTACTATTCCTCCTCAGCTCATTTATTCCACTCGAGTTTTAAGATGCAAAAATACTGTGTGTATATAGGATGAATGTGGAACTGTAATTTTCCCTTTCCTAAAAAGACTAGCATTCTGTGATCAATAATTCTGGATTGTGTGTGTGTGTGTGTGTGTGTGTGTGGTTGTGTGTGTGTGTATGTACTGGGTATATGTGTATGTCTGTGTGTATATGTGTGTGTGTGTGCTGGGTATATGTGTGTATGTGTGTGTACGTATATGTATGTGGGTGCTGGGTATGTGTGAGTGTGTATGTATGTATATGTGTTGAGTGTTATATATCTCCCTCCATGTAGGTCCATATTTCATACAATTATTTGCAGCCAGGTTCTCTGGCCATGCTTAGTTTCCAAGAGCAGCTGCAATCCTGCCAGACCACTGGTAGCCACCTAAAAAAGGCTCAGGATGTATTTCTCCTTCTCTTTTGTTAATATGTAGATGGCTTGGGGAGAGGTGTGGATTCCAAGTTGGTGACTAAGTTGCAGGCCTGATGGTGCTCCTGCCTCCCCAGAAAGAGAATATTAATGAGTTTCCACCTTGGTTTACCTGGGAAAATAAAATGTGTTTGAATAATAAACGCGGGTAGATCATCAAGAATGAATGAAGCCTGAGATGCCCTTCCGATATTGCTGTGTGAACTGTGTCTCATTATTTCCCGTGCCTCTGTACCGGTCGAGTTAGGGAAAATATTCTTTATGTTGGGGCTTCAGACCCCGACACCTCCATATGAAACAGAGATCTTGCTTATTCTTTTCCCCAGCTATACAGTACTCCTTTGTGTGCATGTGACTGATTCCTATGATTTTAGGTTTTTAAATAAGCTACATGTAGTGGGGGCAGGAGTACATGCACCCTCTCGGCCTCATTACCATGACCACGGTTCTGGCTCTCTGTTTACTTCACTGTCAAGTCTGTGGGCCAAGGTGTTCTGTAGGTCACCACAGCAGCTCTGCTTCATGACATCCAGTAGTCATGCCACAGCAGAGGAAATACCTCCACGACACCTGGAGGATGAGCTCTGATTTAGTAAACTCCCTTAAGGAAATGTTTCCAGATCCTCCCAGAAAGATCCCTCAACACGAGGTTGTTCAATGTGCGTTTGTCACATTTTATGGTGTGTATTCCTCTGGACTTATAATGAGAGACGTGGTGGCATTCAAAAGGAGCCGGTTTAGAAGTACACAGTAGGTGAAGTCCTCCAATGGGTAAGTAATGCTAGTGCTAATGTGACCAAGGCCTGGGATTTGGTTGTCTGCTGTGTCTACATTGGGCACCACTAGAAATGACATTAGGAACCATCTTCCCTCTCTTTAGGTAATTCCTGAGGGGCAGGAGTGGGTGGGTTATGGGAATCTTCCCACCCTACCCCCTCCTGCCAGTAACTGGACCCAGAGCTTCTGTATGCTAAACCCACATTCTGTCGCTGATCTCCCTCTCCAACTCAGCTCCCTCTGCTAGCAATTTTTTTTTTATAAAGCCTAGCAAAGCAGTCTCTAAAGCCTGATGGAGAATATAAAGGTGAGTTTCCCATTACTCGTAGGTCTTCTCTATTTTCTCCTCCTTTCCCTCTTCTCTTCCTCATTTAATGAAGAACTAACTGTGCTTATCTCTGGTAGAGAACCTTAGCCCTGTGGACCCTGAATGGTCCAAGAAATGGAAGAAAATGAGCAGGAGTATATCACGGTATCAGTGACTCATCAGTCTCCTGGGTTTCTTACTTTTCCAAGGGGGTTTTCAGAGACTGAGTCTCCACTCATAGCAAGTGTCCAGGCACTGGAAGCTCCTACATATTAGTATAGGTGGCAGATAGATGGATAGATGAAGACAAGGTCACTGTGCGAGGACGGAGAAATACAGAAGGCAAGGAAGGGGGATGTCGCTCCGTGATAGGAGTTGTCCAGCATACGTAAGATCTAAGTTTCAAAGTTTCAATCATTTGCAACACACACACACACACACACACACACACACAGACAGACAGACAGAGATGAGAGAGAGACCACAATAAAATACATCAATACAAGTTCAAACAAAAAAAAGTCAAACAAAAACTCCAGGTACAAGACTAAAAGAAGAGTATGGAGAATACCAAGCAGGATCTCTCCTGGCATCCTGCCTAGAACCTGGTAAAACGATAGCTACCCAGCATGGAGGAAGTTCCAGATCAGTACCAGCTTGATTTCTTCAAGCTGTGTAACCAAACTGTGTGGCGACTTCAGTAATAGGATCTTTCCATTGAGTTGTGGTGGGAAACCAGGAGGAAAGACAATAGCATGTATTATTTTAGGGTCTCTAGGACCTTCTTACCTAGCAACTCCACATACTCCAAAGTATCTCATACCTAGCATTAGCTTTTTGTTTGATAATCTTTGGTCTCTGGGGGCAGAAAGAAGGTAAAAGCCAGAGTTCAGAGGACTGCTATAGCACAGTGTCTTCTGGACACAACAGTGCCATTGTATCCATGAACTCAGCTGATCTACCTATACAAGAAAAGTAGTCAACATCCCAGCATGGATGAGAAAAGAGCTCAAGAGGAACTACTGGTAGTTGATGGCTTCTAGGAGAGGTAGAGTCAGGGGTGTTGCACCTGGAAATCTGCCTATGAGCCAACCCTGCCTATAAGGACAACCCTATACCCTGGTCTACATGAATCGCACTAAGTGGGCCCAGTGGGTTATCTTTAAAAGAAAGAAAGAAAGAAAGAAAGGAAGGAAGGAAGGAAGGAAGGAAGGAAGGAAGGAAGGAAGGAAGGAAGAAAGGAAGGAAGGAAGGAAGAAAGAGATGGAGGAGGAAATGAAGTTGGGAAGAGGGGGAATTTCCAGCCAAAGTCGGGGGTGGGGAACATGATTAAAGATACATTATACACATCTATGAGATTTTCAAAGAATAAATTTTAAAATTTAAAATTCCATCCTCAGCACCTTTACAAGGCAAACAGCAAACTGAGTGGGAGTCAGGCATGGGAAGAGATGAAGAGACAGCAAAAGGCCAAGAAGCAGCTTGAGGAACTATAGTGAAACAACCAACCAGAGCTGGAAGGAGCTGGAAGGATTGTGTTTAAGGTCACAACCACAGCGGGCTTTAGGATATAATTTGCCTTTTTAATTGTGACAATCAGAAACAGTGAGCAAACTACTAGGAAATATAGAAATTGTCTGCCAAAAAAAAAAAAAAAAAGAAAGAAAGAAAGAAAAAGAAAACCAAAATTGAAAAATGTCTTGCTCAATAGCACAACAGTGGTACTGCTTTTGTCTTTAACATTTTGCTTTGTTTTGTGTTTAATCAGCCTCTTATTCGATGGCTCAGATGACATTTGCACTGCACAGCTCAACACAGTAACCTAGCACCTGGAAGACAGTACCCAGAACAGTCGGGGCCATAAAGTTTGTTGGTCCCACTGTGCCAGAAACCTGGAAGATGGCTATGACCTGAATCACCATTATCTCTTTACTATTGAAAGTATATACTCTTGCATTTAAAACTTAAATTTTGAGAATCTTGTTACTCTGGAATTTTTTTTTTTTTTTTTTTTTTTTTTTTTTTTTTTTTTTTTTTTTTTTTTTTTTTTTTTTTTTGTTTTTTTTTTTTTTTT